CTGGATGTGAGGAAGAAGTTTTTTGCAGTGAAGTTGGTAAAGTCCTGGCACAGGTTGCCCAAAGAGGTGGTGGATGTGACATCCCTGGAGACGTTCAAGGCCAGGCTGGATGTGTTTCTGGGCAACCTGATCTAGTTGAAGATGTCCCTGCTCATTGCAGGGGGATTGGACCTGATGAGCTTTGAAAGTCCCTTCCAACCCAGACTGTTCTGTGATTCTATAAGCAGCCATCTTTTATATACACTCTAAGTACAGAACTGCCTCTCAGCAGTCTGAGAAAAAGATGTCTGCTTTCTTCTACATTATCTTCTGGGAAATGGTATGCCAGGCATTTTGAAATTGATTTTGAAGATAAAATACTGGATAGAAATAGTTCTTCCTTTTCATTGTTTTAGAACTGCTTATTATGCATTTATTCTAATTTGTCGGCAACATGTAGTGCAGTGATGTGGCTCATCAGCGTTTGACCTGTGATACAACTTGAGTTCTAATGCTAGGATACAACACTATTGACAGCAGGATACTTGGAAAAGCAGGTTTTGATGCTGAAGAATTGGAAGCAAGCGGTTCATTTCAGGTTTTGACTATGCAGCTGTGGTTCAGGTCTGCCTTTGCTTGTTTCCTATTTTGTTTTATAAAGGTTTTGAGTTTCCTTTAACCACAGTTGTGGTTATCCACAGATGACCTGATTAGACTTATGTAATGCCTGTGGAACTAATCACAAAAGAACAGTGTTGGAACAGTACCTCATTTGTGAGAATGTAGTAAATATGTACATAAAACATAGCAAGTAAATAAATCTAAGCTTGTATGTTCTAAATGGTTTTCCTGTTTGCCTAGAGAGGGGTATTTACACTTTATAACAAAAAAAAACTTCAATAATTTCGTGGGATAATTAAATAAGAGGTACATAGGTAGACTACAGAGAGGTAATAGAAACAGTCCTGTCATTAGGATTAAAGGGGAATGGGCTATCATTAGTTACTTTTGAGCTTATTCCACTCAAGTACAAAGATATTTTTTAATCTGTGTTGATCTGAGCAGTCAGACGAAATTTAAGAACTGATGAACTATCTTGCTTAAAGGAAATTGCTGAGCTATTTATATTGTTAATACCATTCTAGATATTGAGACAAAAGCTCAGTGTTTTTAGTACAGGAGAAACCAACTGTTACCAAGTTGTGGGGGTTTTTTTTTGGTTGGTTGTTTTGTTTTGTATTCAGAGTTACAAACTTATTTCCAATCATTGTTGAGCACCAGGGCAGTCTCCCCATTTTCCTTAGGTCCTGCTCTTGGTACCAGTTCTGCTGTACCTTGAATTTCCACTTTTTTCTTCAATCGTCTGTGTTTTCATGATCGTCTCTAGTAGAAATAGGAATGAAAGACACGCTTTTGCTCTTTCAGTTTGATTTTCTGCTCTTGCAAACCTTCAACTTCTGATAATGTAAAACCCACTAAACATTAATGACAGCTTTGTATGGATTTGTGCTTGTTCCAGGATTTTTCTTTTGCATTAATATTATTTCTTTTTCATTGGCATCTCGGTCTTAACACCTACAGCGATCTCCCCTTGGTCTTTTTTTCATTAAACTAAACAAAGCAAATGTTTTCAGCTTCCTCTCAAAATTTCCCTGACCATTGTAGAAGCCTTTATTTATCCCTTGCAGTTTAAATTCCTTTTCTAGGCATAGATGATGAGAATCAAGAATAGTAGGATTTTAATAGAGCTTTGTGTTATTGCATTAATGCTGATGTCTGTTTGCTAGAAATATCTTCCCTGATAATTTTAAAATTTCATTCCATTTCCATAGGGACATCATATTGGTAGCTCATAATTACTCTGTGATCAGCTTTGTCCCCACAGTTTCATCCACTGTGATTTTCAGCTGCTGAGCTCTCAATTCTTAGCAGAAACTTAATAATCAGTTCACATCTTTGCATTTCACATTATTAAATTTTACCCCAGTTTTCCTAAAGGTAATCCATGTCTTCCTGGTGATGTTCTGTTCCTCACATGAGCAGCAATTTCCCATATCAGAAATTTTTGAGTGAACCCAAAAAGATTTTTTTGTATTATTAATACTTCTTGTGCTCTTGTCATTAATAAATATGTAGTAAAATTGATCCCCCCAAATGATGCCAAGAAACATGTGTTAGTATTGTTCTTCCAGCTCTTTTGGTACAGCACTGTGTCATCTCACCTTACTTTTACGATCTGTCATACCTTTCACTGATCTCAAGTGCTCTCTATCACCAGCAAACATGACTTTAAATTAAGCAGTTGATTGACAAGGCTTCTGTTGTTAGCTCACTTATTGCGTAGGTCAGTTTTTTTATGTGAAGCTGATTCATAATAGACTCAAAGTGACCATTATTTCACCTTACATAATCCACAGGAAGTCTGAATTTGTTTTTTTCTCTCTTTCTAGATTTTTTTTTTTCCCTTTTTTCCTGTGCGTGTGAAAAATAAAATGAAACAAAAGCGAACTGTATTTGAGAGTAATACTTTTGTATGCTATAAAGTGGTACCTGTTGATATTCTAAAGCGAATGGATTACCATATTCTTGCTTTGAACACCTCTCAGAATAAATAACTATACTGTATAAAATAGTATTGTACTTATACCATCTCTCTTAACATTTCTAATGTTAAAATTTTCACTTTTGCAAAAGAGTAATTGTATTGATATGAGGAAAGACATGGTATAACTTCTGGGAGAAGATTCCCCTACTTGGGATAATATAAATGAAATATGATCATACTGCTGTATATTTCTGAGTGCATTTACAATCTGTACTGAGATCTGAACCTAATTCAGGAAAATAGTCTTTTATCTTCTGCTAGCTTTTGAATTGATTTTAGATGATCTTAAGGTCCTTTCCAACTCTAAGTATTCTATGATCCTGTAAATTCCTCAGATGTCCAGCTGGGCAGAGATTATGCATTCTTTGTGAGCAGAAACGACATAACATGTTTCTGGCAGCTGTGGTTAAAGCTCCTAGTTCTGTGTTTTTCACTCTTTGGGTGGAGTTACATAGTTCAAGATTTGCACAAAGACAGCATGCGTATTATTTATGAAAGGTGTCTTGGCAAAATACATTTTTTTATGTGGTCACTTCTTACCATCTTCCTAGCCTTTGTATTCTAGCTAGGTGGTTTGTGGGGACTTGGAAGTGGTTACCAGCAACTTATAGATACAAGGTTGTACTCCCTTATGTAGTTGTAAGTAGCTACTGATCAGAATATAGTATTGCAGAACTGCATGTTTGCATAGGAATAATTAAGATTTAATGCTGGTGTTTTATTATCTTTTATAAAATTATCTTTGGAAATAAAAATATTACCCTGGGAGATACTCTTGTTTAATACTGATGTAGGGAAAGATATTTTCTCCTTCTTTTACTGCTAAATCACTCCTTTCCATTTTTAAAGGGCCTTTTGTCTCCTTGTGTGTATGCGTTTATATCCTGTGCACATAGATTTGGTACTGTTTTGTAGGTTGAATGTGAATTCATGAGTTTTTATGGGAAACCTTTAAAAGTGGCAGCTTTCACAATGAACATTCACTATATACAAAATGGCCCCCTGACTGCCGTTATCAGCTGATGTAAGACGATAGCATCAGGTAGTTGGGTCTCAAGATTAACTTTCTGGAAAATATGAAAAGCAGCATTAAGTCTGGCTTGATATGGTTCCCTACTGTACTTCAAAACTTCCTTGGGCTTCGGTGGCTAGCCTCTGCTGGGCTGCTGGACATGTCACTGGAGACCTTCTAAGAATGTAGGAGAGTTCCTTTTCCCTGTAGATGAGGCAGTTGCACGCTCTATAAAGTGAATCAATTAAAAATTGACGGCAAGCAGTTTCTCTCTCAAAGGGAAAATCTGTGATATTCATGGATGAGACCAGTTTGCTTTTATCAGTGCCATAATGTGAATGACTATAAGCCAAATTTGATTAAGTTACTCAAAAGACCAGCTTCTACAACTATATAATAATAATGTTAAACTAACAGAATAGGATCTGGGTGAATTAATTTAGAACCATTTACTTCTAGATTCAGCTTCTGCTTATATTTCAAAGTAAAGAAGGGCATCCAGAATCATTTAAATAACATGCAAGCTATAGTTATATCAGGAAGATTTTTTTTCCTCCAAGTTTTATTTGTCTGTAAAATTCGACTGGTAGCAATATATTTCAATATGTGTTCAGGGGATGTTCCTCTGTGTTTAAGGATATGGACTGAGTGCCTCAATAGGACTTTCTCAGTGCGTGAACATCAGTAAATTTTCTGTGGGTCTGGAATGCAGAGGAACTGTTAAATGATAACTTTTTCCGTTTTGTTGGTGGGACTATTTTGTCTTAGTTCTGTGAAGTTTTTGTTTGCATAAATTTGTTGCCATAATAATAGCAACAATAAACATAAATAGTGATTTATGATAATTAATTTGCATCAAGTATGTGTTTTAATAAAAATCTGGTTATTACTTTGTAGTCTTAATAATTTAAAAATGACTAAGGAGAATACTATACATTTGTTAGCTTGAAAGGTCTCTTGTATCAGAAAAGAACCATGCATGATTGTTTTGTTTGATATCAAAACACATTTTTGCTGTCATAATACTGGCACGTTCTCAAGGCATGCTGTTTTCTGGCTGCTAGCAGGGAGTAATGGAAACAATGCAGTGATCATGCAATTTATTTGAAAATAAGCACTAAAAATTCTTAGGCAAGCAATGTTTTTAATTCAGGATTCGTAAGGCTGCATAAAATAGCTGTTTTAGTACCACAGAGGTATTTAAATGCCTTGCTGCCTCTGAATTGTTTATAATTTCTTTCTGGTAATTTTCCTTTGGATCAGATTGTGATGCTGCTTCTGAATAGTGATAGTGCTTGTTGAGGAGTGGTCATGCAAGCAAAATGTGATAACCTCGATATGTCACTTCATCTGCTGTTTTTCTTTTGTTAATGCAAAGCTGGTTGCATAATATCTAATTTCTCCTTTAGCTGACCACAGATGAAAACAAAATCCATAATGGCAGCGCTAGATTTTATAAAAAACGCAAGTGAGGAGTTGAAGGATGTGGCTTGTTCTGTTTGGATGATGCAGGATTGCTTTAAGCAGTAAGCTTACTGTTTTCAGATGGCATTAGCAGCATCAGTGATATAGCTGTGTCAGCCTCCTTGACTACTGGATGTCTGTAATCGCACGGAGGGAACTATATTTAAGATCTGATATCTTGAGGGTAATGACTCGAGCACTTACTGATGGGCAGAATGGCTGTTAATGCTTTCTTCACTAGCCCTGAAGATTTTGAAAGGTAGATGGGTCTGTGATGTACTTCTGTAAGACAGGAAATGCAATTTTTGGGGGTCTCTGGAAATAGAAAGGTCATGCAGCTTGGAACCGGTGAGACATTACAGTCTCTAAGTCATCAGGTATGACCTTATAGTTTATTCTAATATTTTTAACACAAGGGTTTGTTTTACAGTTTTAGGTCGTTTACAATCTCTTTGTCTGTGTAATTGTTTCATGTTGGATTTGCTACAGGATTTGTCGGGTAGACTGTTTACATAAGCAGAGCAATGTATATCTTGGAAATCTAATGTGTGGTTAATTGCTATTTGAACAATGTAAGGTTATTCCATATACATTTTCAACCTGTTTTTATTGTGAATATGATTTCTTTTAACTAATTCAGGGTAAAGGTTATACCTCTGCTGTAAAGTAAAATTACAAGATTGCATTGCATTTTTGCTTTGCTTTATCTGTACATGGCACACAAAGCTATAGTGAATGTGTGTGTTTGTGATATGTAATGCAGTATAAGGCAACTGTTTACCTACAGTGGCAGGTTATTTAAAACAACGTATCACATTGTGTAACAGGACTGAGCTATTCTGCAGGCACAGATCTTGCTGCTTTTTTTTTTTTTTTGTATTTTGCAGTAGTAGGATTTTTTTCTTTTTTGCTTCATTTCAGATCAGTTTAAAAATAGCTCACTGAGCATAACAGTGGAAGTTTGGCATGATAACGTTCCTCTTTTTAATTATTACACTTAGTGACACAAACTAATAGTTAATGGGTTGTAAATGAGAAGCTGAATAACTTAAATATTTAGAACGTTGTTTAAAACCAAATTCATTTTACTTAAGCATGTCTCATCATTTTTGTTTTTAACTGTTGCCAACTTTATTGCATGGCTGATACAAAAGTGTGTGCGAATGCATTGTGGTGATGGATAGGACAGTCAGAGTACATAAAACCCCAGGTATGTGGGTATTTTACATAGGAAGATAGTGGCCTGATTTAACGTGTGGAGCACAAAATGTAATTGGGCATCCGGTTACAACTTTAGGTGTTACAAATGCTAGATAATAGCCACTGTTTCCCTTGAATACATCATAGAGCAATTATGTTTAAATTTGTAGAAGTTTATTTTAAAACAGTGATATTCAGCTCCATCTTAAGAAATTCTAGATGTATTTGCAGAACATTACCATGGCAACGTGTTTGGCCATGTGTTTTAAAAGCTCCAAGGAAGCCTGAAAGTAGTGTGCAATTTTTCTGTCACTTGCTTTACCCTTGTAGAACAACAATTTTCACATAAAACTGGACTGCAGATTGGCAGGGGTGAGTGGTAATTCCTGACCTCAAAGCACAGGATTAAGTGATCAAGATTTAAAAATATTTTCTTATTTCCACACAGAAATGTAAACATGTAAAATGTGGATTTGATTTTGCGTTTAAAACTGTATTCTGGTTTCACCCCCATTTAATAACATTCTGCTGGAAATATATGTGTGCGGGAGACCACAGAAGATCAAACTTAAGAACGTGCAACAAATTGCTTCAGTAAAAAAGGCTGTCTTTTCATTTTTAATTAAAAACATATTTGTAAAAAAGTGTTGTATTACTTTTATTAGCCATAATTTATAGTTTCCCAGTGTACTTATCCAGCTTACGTTCTTATTAATAATGGAGAAAGACTGCCCTGCTATTAAGCTTGATTAGATTTGGAATGATTTAACTATACCTTTCACTTGCTACAAGATCTTTTTAATCTGTTAGAATTCATTTTCAGTATTTTAATGTATTAGTCACAATGAGTACATTCTGTTCCTTGGCATTGGAATGAAATTCCTGAAAGTATTGGTTTCATGGTATTTTGGTGCTTTGCAGGGTATTTATGGACTTTTTATTAGGACGAACCTTCCCCCTAGCTTTTTTGTTTTCTTTATTCAAGTGTAATTTAAAATCTTGACTTACATGCATTTTGAAGTTGTTTCCGAACTCTCCTTTGCTCATTGAAAATAATTAGATCTCTATGGAATTTTGCATAACTGGAAGCTATAGCAGTATGTCATGTGCTTATCCTGGACTCCATTTCATCATTTATATTAATTCTGCAAACTGTTCTGTGCATGTTTCTGAAATGTATCATTGATAATAATCTCCAAATTGCGTGATAAACATCCATTGCGGCGTGGTTAGGGTAGAAACTGTGTTTACAGAGGAAAATTGGTGAAGAATGCTTACCTGAGGAAGTGTGTGTTTAGGTCATTCCATTTTTGAACAGTAATTTTACTGACTATTGCAAGTGAATTTGGATATGTTTTTTTTCACTTAAAGGATTCAGTTCCATTATAGGTCCTCCTTAATTTTGGTGGACTAAAGAATATTACCCCAAAGGAAGTTACTAAGGAAGTGAGGTTCTTTTCTAAAAGGTAGAGATTTACACATGAGAGCAGGGAATCAGACTGAGGAGATCTGAAAACTTAAAACTACAAACTATTTTGCTTGCTTAAAAATGTGCCTTCCCCCTCCCCCCCCACCAAAAAAAAAAAATAAAATGACAGTTTTAAAATGTTTGCTGATATTTGGTCATATTGTACAAATTTGAAGTAATTGAATCCAGTGGCAATGTCTTGGTATCAACAAGAAGGGTTTCTTTTATTTCTCTTAACTATACCATCTCTTCGAAGTAAGTTGATTGCAATTGTCAGTGTTTGAAGAATACTATGTAAAAAAGGATTACCCTAACTAAAGTATTCTCTCCCTATGACTACGCGTAATGAATACACATCCACGAGTATGTGTTTCCCTGTCTTTAAACATTTCAATTTACAGAACTTGATTATAAAGGTCTTAAAGGAAATGGAGCTCTGTATGGATGTTTTAGGAATAAAGTTAACTAGTGAGTTTGGCAAGAAGCCCAGTATCTGTGTATTTTACTAAAAATGTGAATGCTCACACTCATGTCAATACTCAGTTGTGTAGTGGTTTTACTTATTATTGATTGATGTTCTGAATCCACACTGCTGACTTTTTTTCCTATGTTACAGTGCCAGTTTTTAAGGAAATGGCAGTACTAGGACTAATAGGAGATTGTGGCCAAACATTCACAACTAGCAAAGCAACACAAGAAGTAAAAAGTACTTTCAGAGTGAGTTGAAAGAATTCAAGTCCTTTTGTCCTACGTTAGTCTTCGTCCCAAGAGATGATCCCATTCTGTGGTCAAATTCTCCTTGTTTAGTACTTTTACCAAGTTATTTGGCATCATAACCTGAATTATAGAGGTCTTAGAATCAGCATGTCAGAAAGGTCTAAAACATAAAGTAACATAGCATAAATATGTAATAGTGAACAGTAAGGTCACAAAATACATAGGTAAGTGACTAGTATTCCAAGAATGCTCTATTCTATTTAGTGTTTCAAGAATATCACTATTTTATCATTTGAATAGAAACCTTTTAAAGGAGATTTGCTGGGATGCAGTATGAAAATGTGGACAAATAACAACAATAATACCACAGTAATCTGTTAAATTTTAAATAGTCATTTAGTCCCAACAAATTCTGGGACCACCTGAGAGGAAGTAGTAGGGAAAGTGACCATAATTCTGGTAAATTCCAATAGGCCACTTCGTAGTTAAGATCGACATAAACTACAGAGTAAGCTACCTAATGCCTTCATTGTGCTATACTGATTTCAGTGTGACCTTTAAAAGGGAGAGCATCACTTTCTGGAGTAATTTAAAAAATGTATATACCAGTAAGATGTTACAGGGTGTGACTGATAATATGGTGGGGTAATACTGCTATTTCCATTTCATTAAGGGCATTTTTTTTTTCTTAAGTGATACTTCATATATTTAATTTGTGCTCATTTCCCCTTGCCCTGTCACTGGGCACCACTGAGAAGAGTCTGGTCAAGCCTTTGCTACTTCCCCCCCAGTCGTGTTTATATACGCTCTGATAAGATTCCTCTGAGCCTTCTCTAGGCTGAGTCCCAGTGCTCTTGGCCTCCTCTTCTGTGACCTTTATGGCTCTTTACTGGGCTTACTCCATTACATCCATGTCTTTCTTACAAGAAGGGAGCCCAGAATTGTACAGTGTGCCCCAGTTATGTCTCAGCAGGGCTGAGTAGAGAGGCAGAATCACATTATCTGGTAAAGAAATTTGGATTGTCTGTTAACTGGTCAATGAAATGCAGGAAACTTGAATCCTTGAAAAATAAGGATTTCAGTCACTGAAAATTATAAATACTGTCTGCCAGTAATCTTATGGAGAAGAAAAGCTTTGAAATAGCTTTGCTTAATTCATAGCAGTTTTTTTTAGTGATGAAACCTCCTGTTGTTCTGGAATGTCGTATGTGGAATCTATGTCCCCCAGTGCGAATTGATACAAGCAAAGACTAATGCCTAAGGGGAAAGTTTAAGCTTTAATATTTTGACCTATGAGTAAGAAGATATTATCTAGTATGCTATCACTGATAATCAAAGAATCATAGAATGGTTTGGGTTTGGAAAGGGCCTTAAGATCATATAGTTCCAAACCCCTACTATGGGCAGGGACTCTTCACACTAGACCATGTTGCCCAAGACTCCGTCCAGCCTGGCCTTGAACACTGCCAGGGATGGAGCATTTACCGCTTATTTGGGCAACCTGTTCCAGTGCCTCACCACCCTCACAGTAAAGAACTTCTTCGTTATATCTAACCTGAACTTCCACTGTTTAAGTTTAAACCCATTGCCCCTTGTCCTGTCGCTATAGTTCCTGATGAAAAGTCCCTCTCTGTCTACTTGTAGGCCCCTTTCAGATATTGGAAGGCTGCTGTGATAAAAAATAAACTATGGGGAACCTGAACTCCAGGGATTCGTAAGTTTTGTTTTAGTCAACTTGCCAAAAATGATTTGTTAATTTCTAGTAGAAACTTAGAGCATGCACAGAGCTCTCAAATGTGCTCAGCTGATGCAGCAGCCATCAAGTGACAGAAAATATTCAGCTTGGTGCATTGAATGAAAATGTAAAACAGGCATTAAGTGACATGAGGGAGTGTTGTGGTATTGTAAAAATTTGCTCATTTTTGTAATAGCTTCCCCCTTTTCCTCCAGGCTGCTTAAACAAACTAAAAATATGTATAGGAGACTTCAGTG